AGTCAATTTAGTAGGGCACCAACCAGCATAAAGAATAGAAAATCTAAACACATATCTGTGTATATGTGTGCCGGCTGCTGTGAATGTGTTTGGAATGCATGAGCCACCCGCCTTACAGTCAGAGGCCTCTGTATGTGTTTCCTGCAGAATCCCTCTTAGATACTCAAGACACCTGTCTGCTCAGGTCTCCCAGATATCCTTCCTCCTGGTGGGAGTCCCTGCTAGGGGCAGGGGTACACCATCCAGGTGCAGTTATGTGGATCATTGAAGAGTTTCCTTTCTCTGTCATCAAACGTGGGTCTGATATGAATTGGCTCCTGCAAACCTGTTCTCCATTCTTCCACCCTCAATTTTGAGACCCTCCCACCAGCACCAAACCCCATGGGGTACTCATCGCCTTTTGTTCATGGAGGCTTCAGAAACCTGGAAACTTGGAGAGTCCATTTACAGTGGTATAAATTAGTACTGCTGTGTTAAAACCTACCTACGCGCTGAGGGCAGCACCCATATTATTTTTCTGTTCAGTGTCCCTCAAGCAGAACTTGTTGAAAAGCAGATTTTCAGACTGATTTTTATTGGAACAAAGTATTTGCATGTGCACACCTGTGTATGCACATCTGTATTGGACAATTTCATTGTAAGTTCGTGGGAAGAATTGGTGACCTAAATTCCCTTTCCTCATCATCCTTCCTTACTCAGATGCCAGGGATTGTGCTGAGGGTTCGCACATGTTTCAGAACCTTACCCACGACTGTGTGTGGTGGGGGCATGCTCGTCTTGGCACTGGATGGCAGTAGGTGGCACCAGGCCCAGCTGCTCTCTGCACTGAAGACTCAGTGAAGAAAAGATGGTCATCACCTTGGGAAGCAAGATGTCAGTGCCCTGTGAGACATCCTGTCACAAAGCAGCTAGAATGAGACTCAGCTCTGCACCATAATTCTGCCTTGTCTCATTCCTGCACCATCCACCTTCCGGTTTTCTTCCCCTTTCTTGCTCCTCTTCTGCCCTCCGTCCCTCTGCTCCACCACCCATCCCTCCCTGCCTCCTCCCCCCATGTCGTCCTTGACGTCCTCTCTGGCCAGCCTCACCTGATGGTGTTGATGGTGCTCAGCTAAGGTATTTCCTGATTCAAGACTTTCAGAGATTTCTAGCATGAGTTCAGAGCAACTTTATGAATTTGAGTCAATAGTTTAAAAAGCCATTAAATTTTTTTCAACTCTATTGAGACATAGTTGAAGTATAATAAAATGTGAGTATTTCACATGTGATTTGATCAGTTTGGACATAGGATGTAAACCCCCGTATAACAATGAAACTAAATGAGCAGCATCAGGAAGCCATAGATGCTGTGGAGGCCTCCTGGGCTCCAGGTGCTGTTGTAGATGTGTGTGGTGGTTGTCTTAACCTCACTGAGGAAGTTCAAAGACAGGGTGACCACTACACCCATTAACTTACTGGAAAGTAAAGAAGAGTAGATCTACAGAATGGACAGCTTTCTTCTGCACTCGGACTCGGGCTCCCCACCACTGAGGACTTCGCCTTCTCCCATCACCAGTGGAAGAAGGAACGTGATACATGTATGTGATGGCTCCTGTCAGACTTTTTAAGTTTCTTCAGTGCCCAATGTGGAAATAGTGCCAGGAGAAATTGAGACAAAAGTCACTTTGCTTCCAGCTTCTCAGGAACACCTGGTTCCATGTGCTGACAAGTGGCTAAACCAATTTCAGAAGCAATGAAAAACAGTTTAAGGGATTAAAAAAAAATAAAGATTTTCTTTGTTCCTCAAGAGAAATACAGAGAAAAATACAAAGAGAAGTAAAAATCTGGCACAGGAGCAAGACATATCTGTTGGGCCTTCAGCCTCATGCAGCATCTCTGTGATGTCTTCTGAACATCCTGTCATTAAAGTACTGAATGCGTTTGGCTCTTTTGTAATAAAAGGCTTGTTGTTTTTCCTGCTCTTCATGGGGTGCGGAGGAGGGGGTTGGTCCGTACTTCCTGGATGCCGTGTCAGCCTTCAGGGGTCAGAAGACTAGATCACTTATTAATCGTGGCAATAAACTATTTTTAACAGTAAGAGAAGTGGAAATGCTGACTTCATATTGATTGTAAAAGAACCTCTTTCACTATGTTGTCCCTGGACCTTCTTCCACTTGTGGGACCACCCCTGCCTCCCTCCCACCCTCCCGGGGCCTTATCACACTACAAAGTAGGTCCTAATTTATGCCTTGTTGTTCTGTGTGTGTAAATAAAATGAAGGAAAGCACGAGAAGGAAAACTGAGAGGAAGAACCTTCCATTCTGAAAATCAGGTGTAAAAAATAAATTTGTCCCCAAGTTTCAGGAGAAACAGCAGTCATTGTCAAAGGCACGGTGTGACCGGGTCTCCAGTCTGAGTTGTTCAGAGATTCTGAAGCTGACAAGAGTCCGTCAGCATCCTGTACGTGACCCCGCCAAAAGCCGCGCAGTGTCAGAAGCGAGGCTCTTCCTGTGGCCTAGAGCGGGAGGCAGGGCAGCACCTGAGCCTCCTGACTATCCATCCCTGGGGTGGCCCTGGGGAGCTGGCCTCTGTCTCCACAAAGCTCACAAAAGATAATGCTGGTGCGTGGACGAGGCTGGTGTTGTCCGGGGCATTTAGATGGCCATGAGTTGGGAGAAAACGAGGGGGAGAGACACCCAGGAGGGCCCTCTGCAGTCCCCCCAGTGCATGACCTCTGGATGTGGACTAGCGGGGCGGGGGGCTGTCTGCCTGTTCTGACAGCCGCCTCTGACTGGTGTGGTGTGAGCAGCTGGCCTCTCTGAGCTCTGTTCACTTGTTCTTTCTGCTCAGATATGTCAGGGGCTCCCTTTCCCTTTTACAGTCTAGTGTTAATTTCTCTTGATTGTATAGGAAAGAGCATTTATTGAAGCTGGAAAGATTTCCGAGACCCATCCAGTCTGGGCGGTTTCCCTTTTGTTGTGTTGGTCTGAGGCTATTAGCACATTTCCATGCACCTCTGAAACTCTGTCATGGATGTAAAGGTTTGTTGGTATCCTGTCCATACAAGTTCAAACGGCCTTGCTGCCCACAAGCAAAAGGCTTGTCCCTGAATGAACACCCTGTCTGCAGGCACACTGTAGCCTTAGGGAAGGATTCTTTCCAAAAAATCTGTTTCTTTCCTTCATTCCTAATTGTTTATGTGTAAATCTATTTATAGTAGATTAAAGGAGAGGTCTGGCCAAGTTGGTGGATAATGATATAATTTACAGGGGCTCCAGCCAAAATGTTGAAGTTGCTTATATTTTACTATTGCCACAGATGGGTTCCTGTTTAAAGAGTCTCCCTCTTTCAAAGGCAGTAAAAACAAAGAGGGGTGGAAGGAGGCTTTTTCAAATGCCCGTAATCATTTCCATTTATGGTCAGTGTTGAACCAACAATGGAATATAAAATGGTAGACTGCTAGCTGGGTATAAGTGAGAGACTTTTGATGCAGTAGAAATTGGCCTGGGACTGGATTCTGAAAACAAATTCAGGTAGAATTTTTATGTAAAGAAAGTGTCCAAGTGCAGAGAGAGGCCAGGGGCTCTGCTGTGATCAGCTGAGGCAGCCAGTGCTAGGATCCAGTGTCCACGTTGTCTGCAGGGCTGTGTGAGGGCGAGGGGGTCCTGGCAAATTCTTGGTGGTAAACCTTTGGTAAAGTTTATCTTTACAAAACAGCATCCGTGTTTAGCATCTGCATTTGCAGTATGTTGTGCAAACCTGCAGCGGGAGCAACGTGCATCAAGGTGGTGCTTTTCCTTTGCCCCCCAGCAAGACACCCCAGACTCCCCAGAGGCCACGCTCTGCCTCGTCTCAAGAATTGGAGAGCAGTGTCTCCTTGCTTTCCTCTATTGTCACTCTCAGCAACACTGAACCATATCAGTTATTGCAGGAAATTAAGTGGTTGTGGTTTTAAAGGAAATCTTCATTGATAGCCCTGTGCACGGTGCACCAGGCAGGGGTGTGGGGGTGAAGGGGCAGGCATATACTTTCCCAGTCACATTGTGTTTACCTGTTGTCTTGCACAGTTGTCTTTAGAAACATCAGAACACCTAACTGAAATATGCAGTTCCCTCCCCTAAAGTTGATAACAGTCCTTCTCATGAGGAACACGGTTCTTTTCTTTAAAAGCAACAACAAAAACCCAGAATTTAAAGCTAAAAGCATCAACAACGGTAATATACTTCAGAGAATATAGTGGTTCCCCATTATGTATGGTTTCACTTATTTATGGTCAACTGCAGTCTGAAAGTATTAAATGGAAAATTCCAGAAATAAACAGTTCCTAAGTTTTAAACTGCATGCTATTCTGAGTAGTGTGATGAAATTTCGAGCCATCTTGCTCTGTCCCACCCAGGACACCCAGGACGTGACTCATTCCTTTGCCCCGTGTCTCCACGCTGCAGACACTCCCCACCCATTCGTCACTAGCTGCCTCAGCGATCAGGTCGATGGTCATGGTATCGCAGCTCTTGTGTTCTACTCACTCTTACTTTCATTGTGGCCCCAAAGCACATGAGTGGAGTCCTGACATTCAGATATGCCAGAGAGAAGCTGTATTTTAAATGAAAAGGTGAAAGTTCTTGACAATATGGAAAAAAAAAATCATTAGCTGAAGTTGCTAATATCTATGATAAGAACAAGTCTTCTATTCATGAAATGGTGAAGAAGGAAAAAGAAACTCATGCTAATTTGCTTTCACACCTCATACTGCAAAAGTTACAGCCCTAGAGTGTGATAAGTGCTTAGTTAAGGTGGAAAAGTTATTAAACTTTATCAAAAAGATATGTAGAGGAAAAAAGTAGCATATATAGGGTTTGATATTATTTGAAGTTTCAGGCATCCACGGGGGTCTTGGAACATACCCCCTGTGGATACGATACTGTAACTTTTTCCTACCGCAGAAGGCTCTCAATCATTAAACTCTTTAGGCTAAGATAAACCTTGCAGTTTGTTTACTGAATTTTCTCTTGTCTCTTAAGGTTCGCCATCGGTGGTGCGAACTCGTTGTTAAGCACAAATACACAAAAGCATACAAACATGTGGAGAAATTCCTTCAAGAGGATCAGGTGAGTTGCATTTTTCCACATTTTCCAGAAGATGGAGGTTCTGCAAATGCTGTTCTGTCCCTGTGTGGCGCACTTAATGCAGGGGCCCAAATGTCGCATATTTAAACACTCCCCCCAAATTTTGAAGATGTTGGTAGGAGCTAACCTACCATACTCTTCAGCTGATCTTCCTTCTCTCGGTGTCCCTCTAAAACATGGAGCCATGTTCCTTGGAGGTGCCGTTGGTTGGTTTCACCTGGCTCGGGCCTGTTGCCATTGCCAAGTGAGGCACGTGCAGACTTCACAGCATGGCCGAACCTCGGGTCAGAGTGTGGCTTAGTGATGCTGTGGTGTGTGTCTTTGTCTTCACTGGCCCTAATTTAAAGTATTTGAGACGGTTACACGGAGAGCCCCCACTGCCTGGAACAGTCTGGTCTGTCTGCACCTGCCACTCTAGGCCAGACTACTGTTCACCAGGGGAAAGTGGTCGCTCTCCCAGGAGCCTGCAAGAAGCGTCTGTGGGCGGCCATGTTTGGGGACGTCCTCTTAGTGGCCTCTGCCCCCGCACCCACCCGTGCTTGTCCCAGTGCAGCTGTCCGCTGTGTGCCTGAGCAAGCTTCCTGCCCAGCACTGTGGGCTGACAGGATGGAGCCATGTTTCAGTTGGGGCGGAGAGTGGGAATAGAGCAAACAAAAGGACTTTTGAGCGGCCTGGAGTATGGGGGCCGCCAGCAAGTAAGGGCTTGTTGTTCCCACAGAGAGAAATGCGTGACTTTGTACCAGAAGAAATGTCACATTTGCACAGTGGAGCAGGAGGTGTTTGGAAACACAGAGGGGAATATAAGGAGGACAAATGCAAGAGAAACTTAAAGTCTGTTCTTAAAACCAAAATTAACTACAGTATACTTAGAACCATGATCTTCGCCAAGTAAGGATTACCAAATCTCAGCCTTTTCAGGAAAGTCTTTGAACCTCTGACTAGACCAAGTTTTTGCCTTGTGCTGTCTTTGAGAACCGTCTTTAATTTGCTCCTGCTGAATATAATCCATGGCATAACCAAGTGTGGAACAAGGAGAAGGCAGAACCACAGCGGTCTTTTGGTCTTCCAGAACATAATTGGCTGTTTTTAAAAGTAGGAAAAAATGCAGATGTGAATCTTTGCACCATTGTGTTTGAAACAGAAGAGCCAGTGTTTGCCATGGAGGAGGGACAGGGCTGAGCTGAAGCAACAGGCCTCTTTTCCTGGGTGGCGTGATGACTGTCGCTGCCCGGCTCCGTGCGCCGTGGTGGTCTTCCTTTCCCAGCAGGGCCTGGGGGCGCGCTTTCCTAGGAAGAAGGCCTGTGTCTGTGACACACACGGGGCACCTCGGTGCTCTGAGCGGCACGGGCCTCCCTGGTGGTCGTCGGGGACCCTCCCTGTCTCTGCCCAGAACACCCCTGACATAGTCATCGTTAGAGACAGGTTCACTGTCTTCACTTTGTCATCAGTTAAGTCACTGAGGTTCTGTTGACAACTAGAATTGATAGCTTAGAATTCCTTGGAGTTTCAATAAAAACAAGAAAGAGAAGGGGATTGAAAAGTACGGGCTCCAGACGTACAACTATTCCACTGTCTTACCTTTTCTAGGGTCTTTGTAATTTTTGGACCAGCCCGTTTGTGTGAAACACACACAGACTGCAGTGGACACAAGTTTCCTTTTCTCACGCTCTCTGGCCTCTGTCCCCTGCAGGCCATGGGCATCTACCTCTACGGGGAGCTGATGGTGCATGAGGATGCCAGGCAGCAGCTGCTTGCCCATACCTGCTTCGAGCTGACCAGGGAACAGATGGACAGGTGCTCAGCTCAGGTGGTGGCTGAGATGCTATTTTAAAGAGGTAAATCTCTCTCTCTCCTTTCCCCATTGTGTGTTTCTAACTAGAGATTCCTCTTAGGGGCCAAACAAACAAACAAACGAATGCAGGGTGCCTGCTGGTAGTATGAGGCTGAGTCCCTGCAACTTGTCTGGTCAGTGGTCACCAGAGAGCAGAGGCAGCCCACCCAAACGGAGCAGCTCTCCTCGGCACAGTCTGGGCCACTTCAGTTTGGTTCCTTGTAGGAACAGAAGTCGAGGAGAAACATATCTTGAATAGGGTTAGAAGGTGAATGGGGAAGGCAGGCAGAAACGCTGGTCCCTGATCTCCAAGGTGAAGGCTGACGTGGCCGTTGTATCACCAGGCGATCCCACTCCTGAGCTGTGTGCAGGCATTGCTTCCTTCTGGGCTGCATCCGGACCTGAGGTTGCTCAGCTTGTCCCCTCAGCTTGTCGCCTGATGGAGGAGGCTGGCAGGAGGACCTCCCCACAAAGTGTGCCACACGCTTCTCGACATGTCGTCAGGCAGGCTTGTTGTTTACCTTGTTGTGTTGGAGCAGAATTTCTCCCCAAGTTATTTAAATTGCTTTTTCTGTTAGTTGTGCTTGGAACTGACATGCTAGATTTATATCCTAACAGGTTTTAAAGTTGGTTTCTTCTTTTTAAAAGTAATATAGCAATGGTCCATAAACTTTTAAAGTAGAACTGTGGGGTTGGGTTATAAGTGTATTGTTTTCCTCTAACAATCATTTCTGTGTCATCTCAGTTCTTCCAGGTTTTACATGCTGTAATAGGATATGTCTAATTTTGTATCTTTCTTTAAACTTTAACATCATATCTCAGTCATTCTTCATGTTATATAGCTTCTCTATAAATACAATTTTAATGGCTATTTAATATTTTATGTTGCTCTTCTTAACCTATTGTTGGACATTTAGTTTGTTAAAAACCACTTCTAATATGTTTAAATATCTTACTTACCAGAAAGAACTCTAATACTGAGGAAAGAAAAAAAGTTTTTCTAAGGGAAAGGAAACAGTGGGAACAGTCGCAGCGACTGAGCCTCTTGTGGAGAGACAGCTGTGCGCAGACATTCCCCCGAAGGCTCCCCGGGGCCGCTTCAGATCCTTGTCACAGATGGGCCGGTTTAAAAACAGAACAGTCACACAGTTATCTTGTTGCCAACCTCATATAGTAATCAGCATAAATCAAATTTCTCTTTAGATGTTGAACTTCACGGCAAGTTTGTGTTTCCTGAAGTGTGTGACACTACACTGGGCAGACTGTTCTTTTGCTTGTTCCCTGGTCTAAGTTGTGGGAACCGCAGTGGGCACAGAGCTCTCATGGCTCCTCATGGGGAGGGTTTTGCCACAAGCTGGCGAAGGAGTGGTCCTGGGGATGAGTCTGCTGTTTTTCGCCTCCCCTCTGAAATGGCCCTTCCTGTCCCTGCCCCTTCCAAATGAATCGGGGGTCCCGCGCATGCACCTCTACCACCCCCCGCACCACTTTCTCACTTAAGATCAGTGACTTGCCAGCCCAAGAAGGGCCCCTCCAGGCGTCCCAGACCACTTGCAGTCTGTGTCCCGCGGGTTAAAGGCAGGGACAGCCGGCTTCACTAACTATGTCACAGAGGCTAGCTGGTGTTTTTTTCCACATCATGTTCCAAGACTGCATTGGCATTTGTATGGTCATCTGTGAGTCCTTTTGATTAAAAAAGTTATTCCTCTAGGACACCGCAAATACATGAACAATAACAAAATAAAACCCATTGGGTAGCGCAGCAGGCCTGCAGGGGGGGGTGCTGTCGCCTGTGTCCGAGGAAGCCGGTGTGTGCAGTGTGGGCTGTGCGCGCAGGCACGGTGGCTCCTGAGTGCTCTGGCTGCTTGGGTTCCTGGCATGCTGATTTGTGACTTAAGATTAAAATCACATTGCCAGGGATTACCACGCAACCACGACCTTGGCTGCTCTCCAGAAGCCATAGTCACTCTCTCTCTGCAGTTTGGAGAACAGATGCATCTTATAGCTCTTCTCTGGAAACAGAAGAAGCCAGCAGCCATGGAAGACACTCGCCAGCCCTTTCATTATGCCCAGCTGAAGACCTCTCTGACGAGGTGCAGAGCTTAGCTGATTGGTGAACAGTGACTGGTTTCCGCCTTGTTCACAGTGGCTAAGTTCTGCACCTGAAGAGAAGGTGAGATGGGGACAGTTAAGTTGGAGCCGCTGGAGCAGAGTCCACTGCTGAGCGGTCAGCTCGGGTGCCGAGCACGATTCTGGAGGAGGAGAGACCTGCTCGGCCCCACGGATGCTCTTTCTCCTGTCACGAATGCAAGGAATGTACCAAAGAACTATAACTCCACTAATTAGACATCTCTCTGAAAGGTCAAATGTTTTGGAAGCTGCAAAAATTATTCTTATAAAAAATTAAAACCAAATGCATCACAATAATCAAGTAAAACTATGTCAGCAGTTGATTGCATGTGAGTTGGGCCGGGTGCTTTCACAGCAGATTCTTGTACTTCCCTGAGCACAGTGACTCTCTCTTGTATTTGCAGCCTAGGTCTCTGTGTCTTCCGCAGCCCCCAGAGGAACGGCGCGCAGGCAGCTCCCAGCCGAGGCACTGCTTCTCCGGCTGTCGATTGGACCCGCCCTCCGGTGCCTACTGAGCTGATATCAGTTCTCATTTTACACACTGGCTCAGTTCAGCAGGAACAGGAGTCGAGCCCTCGAGCAAAAAGCCTTCCTGTTTGTAAGTGCCCAGACGCTCAGGAGCTGGGACTCCACTCACCGAAGACAGGCCAAAGCGTCGGCCACAAGAGCCCAGACAAAGCACTGGCGCCCATCTGTATGTGGTCCTGTGGTGTGGATGTTGGTAGAGTCGTAAAGGTCTGATGGTGGAGTGTGGATAGTGCCGCACAAGTGTGACGCAGGCAGTGCCCACGTCTGTCACGGGGTGGTTGAGACTGAACGCAGAGTGAATGTGGGTCTGAAATGGGCGTTCTGGTATCTGTCTTGTGAATGAAGCTGCAGTTACAGGGCTGGCTTTCACAGCCACATGCAGGCAAGGCGAATGGCCATGGTTCTGCTGTATGCCCCTTTCTCGGGGCCGTGAGAGGTGGCCTGGGTCTCATCCTGGTCTCCACTCAAAGCCAGTTCTGCAGAGCGGAGCGCAGAGGCACACAGAGGTCCTCGTTTAGAGGAATTCCTCTGTTGTGACCGGGCAGTAAATTTTATTGCTGTTTCCTTTGCAGGAAAGATCACAGCAAGATTCTTTCTCATAATCTCCCCATAGCCCTGGTGGGACCAGGATCGCGCTGACCCTGGACATCAAAGGAAGGATTACAGGGCTGCTTGGAGCCATCAGCCGACATCAGCGTCCATGCCTTGGTGCTTCTCTTTGCAGAGGCCGCTCTCAGCAGAACACGTGAGGGCACATCCTCATAAACGGTCTCCATGGCCATGGGGCCTTGTCCCCCACCCTGAGTGGGCCCCCCTCAACATGCTGAACCTTCAGTGGGTCTGAATTGAAGGCAGTACTTTTCACAGAAATGGTGAAGGATATCCGTGCCATGTTAGAAAACCTGCTAAATGTTTTGTGTCAGCCCTCTAAGCATATAGCTACCTTGGATATCTCTATGATCCAGAAAATCACAGAGCTGCTTTACTGGGACTGGTGAACACTGTTTGATGGTCTTCTCTGGCTCATTTCAGAGAGATTTTGCAGAATTACTTTGATTCCATTATTTAGATTCCACCCCCCTCCCCCCGCCAACCCAGATTTTAGTACCTTTTGGTAAATGTACAGGGTAAGAATCTAAGATACATTAATAATAAAATGTAATGGAGTAACATTTTTGTATGCCTGTTTGCGTCTGAATTTAATATTGTCTTAAAAAGGGAGTTTAAAAGCCAGCCTGACACCTTGGAAGGCTGACGGGCCCTGTGCAGGGCACTTCGCTCCTTGCGAAGGCATGGGGTGGGGGGGCCCGTGGGAATCTGCTGGTGCAGATTCCCTTCCTTTCCTACAGATGTTGGAAGTTTAAGAACAAGCAGGTCCTAATGTGGCTCGGTTGGTTGGGTGTTGGCCCACAAAGCAAAAGGTTGCTGGTTCGAGTCCTAGTCAAGGCATCATGCCTGGGTTTAGTGAGCAACCAATCAATGTTTCTCACATCATTGTTTCTCTCCCTCTCTTTTTCTGTCCCTTCCTTCCCCTTTATCTAAAAAGAAACCAATCAGTCTTGGGGGCGGGGGGAAGGCAGAAACTAAGCTTCCCAAGTGCCATGCAAAGGGCAAAACGGTTCCTGCTGTCACCTGACAGTGAAGGGCTGGGCTGGACCAAAATGAACTCAAATCTGTGCGGCTCCACCTGGCCCTGGGGCTGCATTGACCTGACTTTTCATCTAGCCCTTGTGGGGTGAGGTGCAGCCTCACTCTTCAGCAGTGACTGGGATTCCAGAAGGGTTTGCTCTGTACTGTTACATGTGCTCTACATGCGATGGTATATGCTCTTTACCGTATTGGTAGAAGGATCAAAGTTTTATTTTTAAATTTGAATAAATACAAGAACACTGCTTCCTGTGAAGGTGAATAAATGCTGCCTTCTCCCTGTGGTTGGTGCTGGTTGGTGCTGTTTGGCCCTCTATGAGGTGGAGCAGGAAGGGGCCCAGGGCACGGGCAGCACCTCCTCGTGGGCTGTGAGCACCAGCTGGCCCAGTGGTTTGGTTTGGCCTTGTTTTTCTAGGAAGGTAAAGTCACACTTTGCACCTTTAGAAATCATGTAGGCCAAGCCAAACTGCCACCATGTGTAAGATTTTTCACAAAGACCACCGGCTCCTCCGATGGCTGCTGAGTCCCATCACTGGTTCTGACCACTGAACATGGGCAGAGAGTCATGCGAGAGCCATCAGAACTCAGGCCCCAGGTTTTGACAGATCCAGTGGGGAGTTGGCCTGTGCTGCTGGCAGGCAGGGGCAGCTTGTGCCAGGTGTTCTCACGGGAGGAAGAGGAGCCTGCCTCTGAGCCATGGAGGAGGGACAGGGCTGAGCTGAAGCAACAGGCCTCTTTTTCCTGGGTGGCGTGATGACTGTCGCTGCCCGACTCCATGCGCTGTGGTGGCGCTCCAGCTGCATCCGGTCACCCACTTCACCCGAGTTTCTCTGGACTCTGAACGGCTTTCCTAGCTTGTCTGTTCAGCACCTTCTGAGAGGCCGGAGAGAGTGTGCCAGGGCCTGGCTGAGGCTGCTGGAGTCCAGAGTGGCCGCTGATCAGTGAGGCAGCGAAGACTTAAAACAAGTGGAAATTTTTCATCTGTTTAAAGAAGCTGAAATCTCTGCATTGATAACTGGCGGACCACCTGGGGTCTGGGAGGATATGAGTTAGAAACCGGCCGTGCCTCACTCGGTGCTTCCTCAGCACGACCATAGATGCCTTGGGCCAGGCCGGCACGTTGGCAGAGGACCCAAGAGCTCCAGGGATGGGTGATGGGCTGTCTGCACCCAGAACGTGGCGAGCCAGTGAAAGGGAAGCCTGCCCTTCCCAGACAGACTTAATTTTACCCCCCAATGTCATATATTACATAATAGGCAGGGTATAATATGGGTTCATAGAAACTTGGGCATTTTCCTTCCCACCCCAGTGCCTCTGAGAATGTGGGCCTCTCATCTAGTAATAAACTCTTGTCACTCAGCCAGCCAATACTTGAGAAGCTTGAGCTCCTGATCCAGTCTGCTGTCAGGATGGGCCTGGGCAAGGGTGGGGCCAGATGACCGCTGCTTTGGAAGGCATGGAACTGGAACTTCCACCGGCTGCACTTAAAAAGAGTCACCGTGGTTGCAGAGACCTGTCTGAATGGGAGCCAGGCATAGTTCTTAGCAGCATTATTTCTGATGTCCCCTCCCAGAACATCTTGGTGGCTTCACTGGTCCCCACATCTGAGCAGCCATGAAGGCTTGAGATGCCCTCCAGGCTGAGTGTGGGTGCGGTGATGGAAGTGAGGCTGTTTCCCAGCAAGGTGACACTTCCAACTGAGCAGAGGGACCAGGGCATAGGAGGGTCCCACAATCCATCATGGGTCCCCTACTCTTACAAAAACAAACCCTGGCCCCTCTGCCTGACACTAATGCTTCCTTAAGCTGTGTGTGAATTCGACCCTAAAATGGGGTCAGCATTGGCGATCGGGCAGGAACCAGTTGCCCCCCGTGAACTGGGCAGGTGGCAGCACTCCAGGCAGGCGCTGAGGCACAGAACCAGCAGTGTGTTGTCAGGATTGGCAGGTTTACCCGGGGTGAGGAGAGGCAGTTAGGTCCTTTGAGCAAGTTGGTTGGATAATTGCCAGGCAGCTGTGCTGGAAGAAGAACGGGCTCCGGAAGTGCAGGTGCTTCCCCACTGCTCAGACAGCAGGTCCTGGCCCTCGAGGAACAGGTCAGCCGGGGCTAGGTCCGGTCAACCTGTGGCTGGACCCCAGTGGGCTGGTCTCTGACACCCCAGGTGCCCCAGGTGGGGGTGGGGGGCAGTGGCCGTGACACCTTGGCCTGTCCTGGGCAGCAGCCAGGGCAGGAGAGGCAAGGAGCCCTGGCTGGACCAAGGCAGGAAGTGGAGGTGGGGAGGGGACAGGAAAGAAACGCAAGAGAAGACTGTTCAATTCTTCCTCTTGGCCTCTATTTTAGGATTAAAGGATTTAAAAGCATTTATTTTTATTGGAACTTGAAATCAAAACACTGAAATAATGGTCTTCATCCCAAACAAGGTATGGAGGTGTTACATTAACAAGCAGAACCCAGTGCCCCAAGTGGAGGAACCAGAAATGGAAGCCGCATTCCTAATCTTTAGCTGTGCCTTTCAGTGACCTTAGAGCCCCGAAAGGCTGCGGACAGATGTTTGCGGTGCATTGGGACTTAACTCCCCTGGCCCCTGCATGGTGAGCAGAGCCCCTGAGGCCCAGGGCGGGGCCAGGGAAGCCCTGTAGGCCGTCTGCTCACACAGCGGTCACCGTGCCACAGTCAGACATCACTGAAGAGACCTGTAACAGGGAGGGTGGACAGCAAGGCTGAGTGACTTACGATCAAGAACTCTAGTTTTTTAGGAGTTTTCTGTTCTAGGCCAACCACCTCCCCAGGCTACAGACAGAGCCAGCTGGGCAGGGAAATGAGGAATGTGAGGAATCTGCCAAGCACTTCATCGAGGCAGGAGGCAGACCTGCCCTGGTAAGGGAGATAGGCTGTCCCAGCACGTCTCCTGCCAAACAGAATTCTGGGCATCCAAGGCCTGTTGGCCTCTGCTGGCCAGCCTCCCTGGGCTGGCAGAGCCTGCCACACCCTGGTCCCAAGAAGTCAAGGAAGAGGTGCTGTCCCTGGCACTTTGCCAGCAGGTGACCTTGGGGTGAGACAGTCCTCTGGAGCATCGTTTCCCAGGGCGCCTTGAGCTGAATCACCTTCAAGAGCAGAGGGTGGGTTGGGGAGCCCTCTGTGCAGGGCCCAGCCATGGCAAGGACTCCATGCACAGGTGTCTGGTGGGGGGTTCATGGGGGGACCCAAGCCTGCACTTCCTGGAGGTGTCTCAGCCCAAGGTCGTGCTCAGTGGGGAGGGAGTGAACTCTCAACCCCCTAGGCCACTCTCCTGATGGCAATAACCTCTGCTCTCCCTGGCTGGGCCCTGAGAGTTTACAAGGTGGAAGGGAAGAGAAGCCTTTTGCTGCTATTCAAGGACGAGATTTTATAGATCTGTTCCCACCTTTTGGTACCATCTGGGAGACGGACCTGCTAATAAGACCGTTTCTGTTACAGTCTGATGACTAGTGTGTGTGGAAAGAGAAAAAGACTCCAGGAGTTGAGCCCTGGGACGGAAGGAAGCTACCGTAAAACTACACTGCTGCTCAGGAAAACGGGTGGGCGTCTGGGGCCTCAGAGCAGAGGGGCACCCAGACCTCAGGGGAGGCCCAGCCAGAGGAGCCCACTCTTGGCGGCTGGGCCTGGGAAACCAGAGAAACCAGAGAAAGGCAGAGTGCAGCAATGCAGATAAAGACCTCTGTCCACGTTTCCATTTTCTCCAGGAAATGAATCTGGTCCCTGACAAGTGTCTTTTAAGATAAAAGCAAGTTCAGAGGTTTGGCTTCTCAGCCCCAAGGACTGGGATGGGAGACAGGGATACGGCTCCCAAGACCTGTCCCTAGGCCTTTACAGCCCCACCCCCACCGGGGCTCACGCAGCCTGTGCAGCTGCTTGAATCTCACCAACCACGGCTGCAGGCAGAGGGTGGGGGTCACGAGTGGTCTCTGCAGGGCGCCTGCCCCACAGTCTCACTGCCCAGAGCCTTTCTGGTGCTGCTCTCGCCCGCCCGTGGGCTCCCTCCGCCAGGGGGTGTTCCTGCCTGTGGGGGTGTGGGAGGTAAAGGCCTGTGGCAGTCGCCCAGGCGCTTCTTTTCTGCGCTGATTGTCCTCCCTTGTCACACAAGGTCGGGCTGAACGGATCCTGGAAGCAGAGGTGGTGTCCAAAGGCTGGAGAGGGCCGTCCTGGCAAGGCTGAAAGGCAGGCTGAGGGCAGCGCTCTGGTCGAGAGCCTGGCGCTCTTCGCCCCACGCCCATTCCGCAGTCTGACGGCATGATTGAAGTCTCCCAGCACTTTTTTTTAACAGAAGTTATGTTTAAAGAGAGAAGCTGTAGAAAAATGTGCATTATGGGGAGAAATGAGAGATTAAATAGGGGCTTGTTTTAGTATTTGCTGATGGGATGGTACAAGTGTGTGTCTCTGTGGGGTAATAAAGAAAAGACATACTGTGATTTAAGGGAAAAGAGTTGTAGCTTCATAAATAAGATGTGAAAGAAAAGAGACCTGTAGAATTGTGGCTTCAGCACACTCGGAGGTAGAGAAGTCTGTTTGTGGAGCAGGAAAGTGATTATTAGCTGTCACAG